TGGCCATTTAAATGCCTTAAGAGAGCATGTAAAACTGGTACTATAGTGATATGATAACTCTAATGGGAGTACGATCCAGAAGGGTCGAAGTTGGCAATATTGATGCCAAGACTCAAACTAGGCTTGACGAGCTAGACCGAGTTGAGTTTTAAAACCCTATGAGACCTGGGCATAAAGCACGATCGAGAAGGGTTTGCAGGGTTAGCACTTGATGAGGTCAGAGAGATGCCCATGGCAATTGGCTAAGGGACTTAGTGACCCTTGTGTGTGATTGGTAGGCCGGACGGGACAAGGGCCAAAGTCTCATCATAACCATCACATGACATGTATATATAATAACCATATTGGGAAGTAGACGCTACTAAGGGTGTTACATATACATGTGAGAGAGATAGGCCCCATACACCAATTGCGATGAGTATGCACAGGCCTATGTGACCTAGACTTGTCCTTAGAGGGGAACTTGTCGTCCATAAACTAAGATTGTGTTCTCATCACGTATTGGCTGGCTTGGTAGTCCAATCATGAACCCGTATGATGGATTGTGGGTAATGGGAGCTACTAGGTTAGTTTGAGAAAGTCAGTGTGGGACATAGTCACTAGTAGAGATGGAGTGCCTCAGTATTTTCGTATGTTCCTTAACGAAGTTGCATTCGATTCCCATCAAGTTTATTTTAAAATAATTAATTTTGTTTTATATATTTTTAAAATATTGAAATAGATTTTTAGAAGTATCTGGATATTTTATTTTATCAAAAATTGATTTTTAGATTAGCTAAATTGAATTTTCAGGTATTCAAATATTCAGCTAGAGAAATAAAATAACTAAGTATTTATAAAAATCATTTTATTTCTTTTAAAATCCTTAATATTTTGGGGGCCTCGAAATTCATTAGTCCCACCACATTGGGCCCATTTGGATGAGGGCATGGGGCCCACTAGATCTCCATAAGTGGGACGCCCCTCCTTTTTACTTTATGTGGCTTGTGGACGAAGCAATGCAGTTGATTGGGAAATGAAATGGAAAGTTTTATGAAAGATGTTAATTGATTTCAAAAGGTGAATGTGTAGAGATTGATGGAAATTAAAAAGAAGTATATATAATATTTTCTCTACAAAAATATTTGATGGGATTAGGTTAAGGAAGCTGAGTGATAAGGTTCTAGCACCTTCTATTAGATCATGATGACTGATCTATGAATTTTATGGTTAAGATCTCTCACCCCACAGGTCATCTATGATCAACGGTCTATATCGAATCTCCATAAGGATGGCTATTAGCTTCACTATTATAAATACATCTCAATGGGGGTCACCATAACACATCCCCCCCCCTCTCTCTCTCTCTCTCTCCCCCTTATAGGTGGCACCCCACCCTTTCTCTCTCTCTCTCTCTCCCATACTCTCTAAGTAATAAAAGAAAGGGGCACACCCCTGGGTGGGAAATAAGAAAAGAGGGGCATGCCCAACCACTTGGTGAAATATAGAAGAACCCATCCTACCTCACATGCTCTCAAGTTCTAAGTAGAGAGCTTAGCCAAGCTTCCCATTTTGGTCAGATTCTTGAAAGATCAAGATCCCATGTTCCCATGTGCTATTAGTGGAGGAGACCCGGTGTGGGGTGTACAAAGTCCATTAGAGGTAGTCTTTTGACGCACTATCTTGTTTTATGCTTTCTTGTGTTTTTTTATTTCCAATCTCAATTGGTGTGATTTTGGTTGTGTAATAAAGAAGTCTTTGAAAGGTGGCAGCAAGTGAGAATCCAAATCTTTTTTTTTATTCATTTATTGAATTTTGATATAATTCTTGGACATATGTAAGTGTTTTAGCTGGTATCGTGAAAGAGAAATTTAAAAAAAGAGAAATTTTAAGCTATATAGATCGTGCTAGTTTACATTGTCCACTTTCAATATTTTCTCACAGATTTAGTGTGCTGCATCAAAACGAGTAGCTTCTTGTAAAGGGTCGTCCAATAATTGGATGCTAAGTACTTTTGTCAAAGCTTCTCTTTTATTCTAGCCCAAGTGCTAACCTTCTCATTACCCTGCCTAACTATTCTCTTGGAAGTTACTTCCATTAGATAACTGTAGAAGATCCGTCTATTCAAGAAGTGCACTTTCTAAGCACTCGAGGAACTCATCGAGATTTAGGTGTCCTCGATTGTCCTCCACATGATAGTACTCCTTATGGGATCCTTCTAACACCTTAGCCAATCTATCATTGATCCACTCTCCTCTACGTATTGCCTAGGTTCCTCATAAGAGTCGTCCTCATATTTCTCATCTAGTGTTTGGCTCCTCTTGGAACCATGCACACTAGCAACTTTGTGAGGTTCCTTTGGAGGGTTAGGGGGAAGCGCTGCCCTTACACCTATAGCCTGCACGATCTGGCAAACTACTCCCTAATATGCTATAGGGACTCTTGATCAACTCTTTGTTGGATAATTTGTTGCCTAGCACCCTTGACTTGAATATGCGCATGGCCTTAGCCATGAGCACGGCTTCGACCATGACCCTGGTTCACAATGCCTTGGTCTACCATGGAATTTGAACTCACTTAAACCCCTATGTAAAATTTTCCAAGACCTAAGGAAGGATACTTTCTCTGCTCTAGTCGACCATTTGAACAAAATTCCTAACTTGGCAACTCTAGAGCAAACGTAAAAACCTCACAAACTCTCTATTAACCCTATGACAGCACCTAAAACCTTAACAAAGGATATATCACAAAGTGGATCATCACCTAAGGGACATAACAACAAAGGGAGATCACCTTAAAGACCTTAGTTGACACCTTAAAACTCTAGAACATACCCTAAACAATTGAAATATAGACCTCTAGCCCTAGCACAACTTGCTCTGATGCCAAAATGATGTAACCCCAAGATTAGTGAATCTCCGATTACAAGACCCTAAAACACGTTTGGTGAATGCCTTAAACTAAATTAAGGCTAAATATTCACAATTTTAGCAAGTAATCATCCACAAACTAAACAAACTTGTGAAATCAACACACAATTTTAGGTATTTGTTTTAATATCCAGGAAATGAGATGTCGAATCCATAATGGATTGGAAATCTGTCCTTAAACAAAAATCAGCCCAAATAAAAATTTATCCCATTTAAATTGAAAAGCTAGTCCATAGCCCGATAGAAGTAGAGGGTGTAGAATGATTTTAAATTAATCCCACAGGGTCTCCACAAGTAGCTGAAGGGTTTTGAAGTTGATAGGGTGTAAAAATATTAGGTTCTTGACTTCAGATTCGAAATTTAGAATCAGGTGTCAATGGATTTTATTTGATGTTTATTCTAGGGAGAACATATGGGTAAATTTCAAGGTTTTAGTATTTTTAAAATGTGTAGTGTCTATTGGTTTGGACGGTTATAATAAAAATGCAAATCTGAAGAAAGAAGAAAATAGCAAAAATAAGGGAGAGAGAGAAAATAAGAAAGGAGGATGAATACTAAAGGTTTTAAGGTAAGAAAAGAAGTAAATGGTGGGAAAAAAGAAGGAAGAACGAAAAGAAAATGGGAAAAATAAAAAGAACGGAAAGAAAAGAAGTAAGAAGGGAAAGAAGAGAAGAAGAAATTGAAGAGTACGTTAGAAGGGAAGGACCTTAGGAGGTGCTACCCTGTCTTCTGTATGGCCTTCAATCAAAGAGTTTAAGAAGCCCTCTCTTGGGTTTTTCTTTCTCAAAGTCTTCAAAGTAAACATCCTAAGGAGTGGACGTCTCTCTCTCCCTTAACTAAAATAAAACAATAAGAAGAAGAAATTGAAGAGTACGTTAGAAGGGAAGGACCCTAGGAGGTGCTACCCTGCCTTCTCTATGGCCTTCAATCAAAGAGTTAAAGAAGCCCTCTCTTGGGTTTTTCTTTCTCAAAGTCTTCAAAATAAACATCCTAAGGAGTGGACGTCTCTCTCTCCCCTAACTAAAATAAAACAATAAAACCCCTCTAGAGTACTCAAAAGATATAAATACCCTAACATACTTAAAACATATTAAAAGCCCCTTTTATTTCAATGCAATGTAAGTTAATATTCTAAAAATAAATAAATTAACAGCCCACATAACCTGGTCTTACTCTAAAATAACTACATATATAAAACTAAGAATCCTTAATTAGAAATTTGATTAAACTGGTCCTATGTAAGGCCACTATGCCCTCATCGTTGAGGGACAATTGTAGAAGTTTGAAATGAATGGAGTGCATGCATGCTTCCTCGTCACTTACAATTGAGCCCTTACTGACTGAGACAAAAGTACGTGACATTAACAATTAGGAGCTTAAAAATAAAAGAAAAAATCATAATCACATTGCCACTGGCCAATTGAACAACAAATGGAATGCATCTCAGAAAGAGAGGTAGAAGGTTCAGTTGAGAAGTCCATGTCCGCTTCCTTCCCCTATTTGAGTGGTCGACCACCTTCTAATGGAGAAGTTATCCGATCACCTGCTGATTAGTGTGATGGCAACTGATTCCCCCTTCATGATCATAGCCCTATTTATGGAATTGTATGCTGACTAGTGTTCTTCTAGGATCTGGCATTCTCTTTGCGATTATCTGGTAAGTGGGTGTGTTTTGGATCGTTGATCCTTGCATGAATAAACCCTGCTGTGTCCATTTTAGGATTTTCTGTCAACCTCAAAAGTCTATGGTTTTTTTCCTTGCATGTGCTCCAAATGTCACATGGTCATATCTGGGATTGTTTAGTAAAGGCACAAGGAATACATTGGGTCCTATGTTACTGTCATTTGCCAAAGGAAACAATATAAGCAATACTACGACTCTCCTTGCTTCTTAATTTAGACGGTACTATGCTGCACAATCACGAAAATTTCTGTGTTGCCTTACATGCTTTGTTGATCCAGGAAAAAAAAAGGTAGAGCACAATTGACTCATCATAGTTTTTCTTTTCATCAGTAATCTTTTATGTGCTAATATCTTAATTATAAAAAGATACGAGTAACTTATACTGATGTTGAGGTACATATTTTTAGACTGCTGTGAATGAGAAGCAATCAATTTTAGGTAGTGTACCTACTGAGCTGAAGGAGAAAGGTTCACAGCTATATGATTCTCTTGTTAATGGGAAGGTAATATAAATTGAAATAGTTTTTGTTGCTTTAATTGATTTATAATTTAGATTTATTTTTCTATTTGGCTATTGTTTTAATGTCCTTTCTGTATAAGGTTGTGAAATAGTACCTTCTATGATTATAATGCTGAAATATGCATCCTAAATCTCTATCCTATATAGTTTTTTGGCATTGCATATTATATGTCAGGTTGCCTTGGTCCCCATGGTCCATTCCTAAGGCATGCCAGTTTCACCAGCATAGTTTGTTTCTATTGTTCCTAGTTTTCCTCACTTGTAGTTCTAACAAGAGTTTTGCGCAAATGTATGTTTCCAAGTAAACAATATTCTTACACCTTATGTTTGTATTGCTCTGATAAGGAGCACAAGTTTGAACTAGAATTCATTGTTGAGACTGCTAGGATGATGTCCTCAAGATGCCACTTTAGGTTTACATGTTTAATGTTCACTGTTTGAAAGTCCTGAGCTTCTCTTTCTTTCCAGGGTGGTCTAAAGGATCTCATTGCTTCTATCAAGGAGAATGATCCAGATAAAATATCCATAACTCTCTCATCCACCCTAGGGACTATTTCAGAGCTGGAACTATTACAGGTAATTGGACTTGAATATTATGAATTATTTTTGGCATAATACAAAGTCATTGTTTTTTTACGGGCAATAATATTTATGTCAAACAAAAATACAGATAGGAGATTTGGAGAAAAGAGCTCTGTGGCATAAAAAAAATGATAAATTCAACCTGCTCCTGTTTATACCTAAATATCTATACTATTTTTCACTGTGTTCACCTCCCAAGGAGCACATATAATGCTCAAAACACCACAGCCTGACCAATAAGTCCTCAACTTCCATGAGAAAGTGCCCCTATCCGTAAGGAATCAGGGTTCTTGAATTAGGGTTCTTCCTATGGCAAGGTATTACAATAGATGCTTTATCCTCAATGGCCTGAGTCCTCAAATTTTCTATGAGACCTGCAGTCCAACACCAACCAAAATTACTCATGTTTTGGCCCATTGCGAAACATTATCTCTTTTTCTGGGCTATTTATTGCAAACAATTTATTATTTTCAAATGGAATATGCATGATTTCTCATTCTTTTTCTGGGCTATTTATTGCAAACAATTTATTATTTTAAAATGGAATATGCATGATTTCTCATAATCATTTTTGCATTTCTTAGGAGCATGTAAACCTTGTCTGATTTTGTAACATGGAATTCATCCTGGAGAGACTTCTATTGTTTTAGACTTAAAAACTTCAATTAATTTCATGACTATTATGCTTCAACAGGCTCCAGGTATATCATATTTGTTGCCTGAGCAGTATCTCAAATATCCAAGGTAAATATGAGTTTATTACAATGAACCAAGACTGATTGATCTTGTGCTTCACACTCATCTTTTTTGCAATCAAATATTGCTTCATTTTACCTCTACAACTTCTTAGTGATGTGGATTCTCCTAACCATTGTTGGACACAAGGCAGTGCATATCATTTGTCTTTAAAATTAAATCATTAGTATAGCTTTTCCCCATCCTTAAGTTTTTCTCATTGATGCTTAATGAAGATTTTGAGATGGCTTTTCTGTTTAAGTTCTTCTCTCTATACTTATTTTGGTATATCAGCTCCTTCTAGCATTAGATGTCATCATTGATTCGTTTGCTAGATCGAAGTGCATGTAGAGCCAAATGAGTCAAATGAGCTTTAAGAAAGCGTCGAAGTTAGATTGTTTATTCAACTACCTCTTGTCCTGCGCTCGGAAATTTTAAGGGTGTAACCCAAAATTCTTTAAGAATTGCGAATGAAACTTGGAAAGAAGAGAAGGGATATGATCACCACCCTTGTGGATGCCCAAGGGACCTAAAACACATTTGCTTATGTCGGTTGATGAACCTGTGTAACTTAAAATAGAAGAGAAGAGCAGTTGTGTTCAATAAAAAAAACTATTATAGCAGTACTTAAGGAACTCCATGCTTGTAGCACCCTTACTATCTAGCTATCCCATCACTAAGGCTTAGTTTCTGCAATCTCTTAAAGAATACTCTTTCTGCGAAACACCTTCTAAGAAAAAGTTCCATTAGAGGTGTGCCTGTGGCTAGTGTATAAGTTGTTACATGTTGAGATGAATGAATTTCATTTATTTCTTTGTTTCATCTTTATTGTAGTTCTTTCATTGTATTCTGTGTCCGATGATGGAATACCTTTGTCTGGTAACTCTATGATACAATGGGAAATCACGGAATGAAGAAATCTAAGATCTGAATTATTGGTTGAAAGTTAAGGGAAACTTAGAAGCCAAGCTTCATTGGCTAGCACTGGTTCAAACAGGATTTACAATTCAGAAACTCAGAAAGCTACTTATGGTACCTTTGCACAACTATGTATTTATAGACCAAGCCTAACCCAGGTCTAATCTGGACTGTCCTTTATAACTCTAAATCTGGACCTTCAACAAAAGAAAGAAACCCTAACAAGAAATGACAGCTCTACCCTTGACAAAATGAAGATGCTTCTGCCCTTATACCTACCCTTAAACTGACACTGAACTTTAAAGACCGACTGAGGAATTTAGAGGTATTTTTAAGCAAATTTGGCTGTCAAAATCAACAAAGCAGGTTTTTTCCATATAGAGATCTTCGAAACAAGTGGTCATACGCCCAAACTGGATATACAGGCAATACATTCTGGCCTCTGGAAGTTACAGTGCCCAAATCACCAAAAACATCAAACCTTGATCGAAGTTGCCAAGGCCACAGAATGAAAGTGCTTTGTGAATAAGCAAGTGTTACTGCAGAAGAGCTCTAACACTCTCTTTGGTTCTGGGGATAGATGCAACAGCACGGATAACGTTGTCTAAACCGTGTTTGGCTCGAATCTAATTTGACCCCAGCTCCCAATATTTGACCAACCACCTGGATCTGTGGTGACCTTTCTTCAGTCAAAACTTTGGCGTACAATATTGTTTCCTAAAATAAACCCCTCCAAATAAACTTCGTTTTTAGTGCCTGCATCACTCTAAAACACAACAATGTCAATGCTGTTTGAATATATATTTGGCCTACTTTAGGATCTTCTGCTAGTGGGTATAGCTAGTGGTTAATTGCAAGCATATACAAGCACATGAATTTGGCTTCTCATATTAAATCATTTCTTGTTATGTGTTTCATCAAGTTTATGGTAGCTGTCCAATTTTGGGCAGTTAATGACCTAATATGTTAACTGGATTGAATGCCAAGGCCTACATGGAGTTTGCAGGCTTACAGGAAGAGGAATTGTAGAATTCATTGTTGAGAAAGGTGATGGTTCCACATTTTCTACTGCAGCTGGCGGTGGACCTCAAAAGCTTGCAACTATTCAGGTTTGCCAACTTGCAGTTTTTCTCGAACAAGGTTACACATTCTTCATAACTTCTCTTCTCTAAATGTCTTTTTTTTTTTTAACATGGTCAATCAAAATAGGTCAATGCAGATTCATGTCTCACTATAATATCCAAATTAACGGGCAACATTAGAGAATTCGCTAAATCAAGAATTCACAATGATTGTTAGAACTGGATTTCAAGCTTTCTTCAGATTAGAACTTCATAGGCGTCGTAATTCTTTAAAAAAGTTATCTAAAATAGTACTTTTGAGCTGGGGTGAACAGCATGTGCAGTTTATGGATTCCTTTTGATCATGAATGATGCAGTAACGTCATCCCAGCGAGAAGACCGAAATGGAGTCCAACTGTGATGATGTAGATAAAATGTTGCTAAAAAAGTTGATGAAATGCATGCAGGAGTTTGCTTTCGAACTGAGATAACTTTGACGACCATCTACTCATGTTTCTAGGATTTGCTTCAAGAGTGGTTTATTTCCAATGATAATTCGATCATTGAAATGATCTTTATAATTAAATTGAATGATAATAAGAAGTTGGATCTTGAGAAGAATAAATTGTATTCCTGAAGAAGTTTGATAGTGTTTGGGGTTATTTTGTCTCAATAAAATTACCAAGGAAAACTTCTCAGGGAATGGTATTGAATAAAAGGCCGCCAATAGCAGTGGTTGGTTACATCAATAAAAAAGCAGTCCCAGAATGACTTCAGCATCGGAATATCCCCTCAGAATGATGAGAGAAGTCTTCCTGCCAAAATGATGAGCATTGGGCTTAACTCACCCTTAGAGCGGATGATCAGATGGTTCAAAATATAGCATGGTCAAACTTCCGTCAAATCTACCTGAAAACCCCAAAGTATTCCAAATTTTCATCTGAGGTACCATAACACCATCCCGAAATTTCAGCTCAAACCAACCCTAAATGATAAAGATATGGATCTAGAAATCAGGAACCCATATTTGATGCCTTAAAATGGCCCTACAGTTACAAAGAAATCCTATGGAAGTTATATCCAAATGGTCCAATAGTTTTATAGAAAGAAGGAACATGGTGTAAAGCTCAAATCTCAAATTTGAGGACGATCCAATTTCAGGTCGTCGTGATCAGAATCTGACAAGTTTAAAATTTCAAGGGGGACTGAAACATTTTACAAAGGGGCCCCACCAAATACAGACCCAGATGCCCTGAAATTCTTATGGAGGGAAATACATGTTATGAAAAGGCTAAGTTCCCAATTCGAGCTTGATCTGAGGTCAAATGAATGAGATATGGCCAATATAGCTGTGTAAACTCAGTGAGGGTGCACACTATTTCAGCCTAATTTTACAAAGCATCCTTAAAAAATTAGTGGCTAAATTGGCTAGAAATTTTATGGGAAGAAAATGCAAATAAGAAAATCATATCCTCTGAATTTCAGCCCAATAAGTTTTCGGAAGTATCCGTTCTAAGGTTCTCTTGGTCAGACCACAAATGGACCGTCAATCTTTTTCTGGAAAGACCACCGTGAACCATGTAGTCCAGTAGGCTATGGGAGTTGCAGCAGCCCACAAAAATCTTTGGGAAAATTGATGGAGCGCTATCTCACAGGTGCCATGACCAAATGGGCTCAAATTTCAGTATGTCGTTTCTTGTTACATTGGCTTTCAAACGGTATACATATTAAGGGGGTTCCTTGACTGAATCATGGCTTACTCGAGGGAAAAAGAAGGGGAATCAAAGTGGTTGAAAAATGTTTCAGCTCCTATGTCCTCCAATCATTCCCAGATCAATATCTTATGATCCGAGAAGTATTTTGGACTAAATTTTGATAGGGTCGTTCCTGACTCAGTGCTGCTCATGTCAATGTGTAGAAATTTGAAGATAAAAGTCAAATTGAGGGAGAAATTTTAGAGGGAAGTTGCTTGAAGATTTTGGCATTATAGTTTCAAAAACCATAATGAAATAAAGCGGCCATAACTTTGCCTTGAAAATCATGCTAAATGATGATCTTAAGACCCTTCATAGGAATTTGGTGGCTGATCATCTAATAGAAGTCAAATATGGGTGCATTGAAGAGCCATGGAGGATACATGAAAAGGGCTTATTATAAATAGAAAGTGAGGCATATCTCACCAAATTCAACACCATTTTCACTCAAATTTGTCACAAAATGATTATAACTGAATTTTTGGCAATTTCACAAAAGAAATTTGGGCCAAAATGGTGGAAAATGTTGGCAAGATGGCCTTTCAAGGCTTTAATGCCAAGAGTCTTTCGTTTAGTGGGACTGAGTGAGAGAGATAGAATCTGGGTATTTTGCGAACTGAGGCTCAGATTCTCTTACCCCGAGTACATGAGGCACTGAGAGTTTATGTTTTGAGAAATCATTTTAAGGAGGTGTGAGGGTCACCTCCTATTCAAGAATTTCAATTAGAACGCCTCATGATTGGTTGCGATAAGCTAGGGCTTGGAGAATCCAATCGAGTAGTATAGAGCCCGAGTATTTGTTGAGAATTGACCCTATATGGACTGGTCAAGACTCATGGGACATGAGTCCATAGCCTGACACGAGATCATTCCATGGCATGTGCACTTTCACTCACAAGGGAAGCCACTCTTCTTAGGCTTTATCCGACTTAGAAGAGGCAGTGCACATGTGCTTCAAGGGACCCCTATATTTAAGTAGGAATATGTCCGATTATGTGTCTCTGCCATAGATTGTGGAGCATAGGTGCATTGGGTCAACTTGAGACACGACGAAACATCATTCGGGACTAGCCAAATGGAGTACTTCAATACCTAGAATCAAAGCCTCAAGATCTCACATACCTTTTTGTTTTAATGAAAAATGATGTTTAAATATGATTTAAATATTTATTAGAATTTTTTGGATTTTTTAAATCACCAAAAATGTGATTTTCAAAATTGTTCTGGCTTATGTAAGGGCGTCCATGTGGATGCCACGTGGCACCTGAGTGGCCATAGGGTGGCCATGTGGCTCCATGGACCCCTCATGTTGGGCCTCCCTTGTCTGGGCGCAATTCCCATGCATGGGAGACCCTATAGCACATGGTCACTTGTTATTTATTTCAAACCTGATGTTTTATTGTTATTTATAGTTATAACTTAATGTTGGATTTTTGTCACATGTTTAGATGTCACACTTGTGACATGCTTGGCTTGTGTAGAGCCAATGCACTTATTCAAATAAATAATGTTTTAAAATGTTGTTATCCACATGGGAGGTATGCCATGTGTACATTCCATGTGGATGTGCCCCATTGGTGACACCCATGTAAATTGTGTAAGGTGCATCTGAAGGGTGTGGGTTAAGTTAATTCTATTGGTGGTGTCATAACCTACTCATGTGATTGACACCTTTTACCAAAATATCCTTACCCTTGAGCATTCTTTACACTTAGATTTATTAAAAATTCAAGGGTTTTTATGCAAAGCCCTTTTGGATTTGATTGGAATTAATCTATGGGGACAAGGAGAAAAGGGTAATGTGTATTTGATTTAGGGTTTATGAGGTGATAAGGTGCTTAAATCTCATCCCTTCATCCTAGTGATTGGATGGAGATGAGTGGCTACGATAATTAGCCTCTCATGTGCCATTGATGAAAGCATCAAGGGTCATGATCAATTCAGAACTTATACACTTCATATAAATACACTTAGGGCCCAAATTCAAACCCTAAGAAAACACTTTTCTTGAATCAAAGAGAGAGAAAAGAGAGCAAAACCAGACCTCCACGTTCAGCCCCTTTGGCTTTATGTTTTTGGTTAGAAGATGACCTTTAATGGAGCCCCTTCCTTCTACAAGGTCAAGTCCATCATATGTCACCATCAAGGTATCATGTTTTTGTGTCTTTCCTTCATTGCTTCATTTCCTCAAGATCTAAACTTGCTGTAAATTCATGTTTACAGAAGTTTAAGTTCCCTTCTTCATTACTTTTGAAAGATCTTTAAGTTAGGGATATATGGTGTGTCCCTTAAGCTTGATCATGAGTTCAATACCATGATTGCTTTATAAATCATGTCTAGTTTCTCATAGATCATTTCCATCCAAATTTTCTTGAGTACGTCTTTATTAATATTCAAGTTTAGAGAATTAATACCCTTTTTAAAAGTCCATTTGTTAAGTTAGAGTTCCTCTTTTTACATTGAAAAAAACTTTGGTGGACCGGTGGACCATATGGAGTAGTTTGTTCATATTTGACTCGTTTTGAGTATGATCTCTCTCATTCTCTTTTGTAAACTGATATCCATCATTTTAATCTCTCTCATTGGGCCTTATTTGTTATTTTAAAAGTGTTTCAAGCTTCCCATTTGAATTGATCACCTTGTGATTATAAAACCACTCTTGCACTCATTTTTGGGACAATACTAAGTCATCAAAAGGTCCAATTGTGACTCGGGCATAAGGGCTCGCATCCATTGGCTTCCCCACCTTATATTGGCTCTCAAATCACTGTTAGAAAGTCAAGAAACGTTCTGTAAATTTTGTTTCAAGTGTTTATGTTATGTGATTTGGTTATATAAGAGCATAAGCTCATTTCTTGTAAAAATGTCATACTTTGTGACATAGTTTTGTTTTGTGGGCAAAGATATGTATTTTGCCCCATAAGGGGACTGTTATAGAGTCATTTGTAAGTGGTATTCATATCTTAAAGTGTTCTTACTTTTGATTTGAGTGGCTGTAACTGTTTATCTTGCTTGTTTAAGCAAGACCGCTTATTGAAAATTTCGAGTTGTATTCTCATTTTGGTTTTGCTATAAGAACACCTTAGATTCTATACCACATCAGAAAAGAGGTCCAATTTGATGAGTTTTAGTAGTGGATGAAGAATGAAGCCTCCTAAAGGGCAAATCATTAAAAATTTCAAAGTTTGGGTACTCTTTTTGGTCATTTTCAGGGGTAGCTGGAATTGAATTTTGATAATCCACCCTTGTTTAAACCCATTTTTAGTATTCCAGCCACCCAATTATTGATTATACACCCATGTTTCCCCACCACTATATAAATCCACTTAAGCCTCATTTTCAAGGGTTGGAAAATTGAGATTAAAAGCCTACCTAAGAGAGAGAAAGTATACCCAACTCCCTAAGTTACCCCTAAGCCTTTCCCAAACTACACAATTTATATTTTTATCTTATGAAAATCCTCAAAATCCCCCTAAAGTCCCAAAAAGAACCTAAAACTCCCTAAGAACTTCTTACTCCCAGGCCTAACCCCTAGGAAGCCCAAAATTCCAGAAAGCCCAATTCCCAAAAGAACCTAAAACTTCCAAACACCCCAAACTTTACAACTATTCACTTCTGGTCCCTAGCATCAATGTGGATGAGGGTCAGGCAGATCTTGTGTATACTTTGGTTGTTTTGAAATGCGAGGTCTTCTGCTAGCTCGAGGGTTGCCCTCGCCAAGTCCGATACCGTCACCCACCCTAAAGAGTAGGGGCATCCCAATATTCTACAAATCATGTGTCTAAGTGGGCCTGGCTATACTGGACTCGGAAGTGAACGTCCCCGCTTTATTCTTGCTTTATTTTAAGCAATAGAAGATTGTCCTTTTAATTGTGTGCCTCTAGTTACTGATTTCTTATTTGGGCTATTGAGTCTTCCAACATGTACACACGAACATCTTTTAAAGCGACATAGATAGTTCTCAACAAATGGAAATACATGCTGGTATAATATTTTGGAAAAGTTTTGGCATTTCGTTTTATGCCAGGGAGGTCAACAACTTTCTTACTTAGACAACTGATTGAGAAGTTTAAGACGAAGAAAAAGGAACTTTAGATGGTCTTCATTGATGTAAAGAAAGCTTATGATAGAGTATCTCGATATTTGATTTGGTGGGTGTTAGAAAAAAAAAGGAGTCTCTGGACACTACATCGACTTCGTGAGAGATATGTACGAGAGACCGCTAACTAGAGTGCGAATAACTAGTGGAGAGACAAGTGAGTTTTCAGTGACAATAGGTCTACTTAGAGGTCAGTATTGAGCCCATACCTCTTTATCTTATTTATGGATGACTTAACTAGGCACTGACAGGGTGAGATACCGTGGTGTATGTTGTTACGGACGATATAGTTTGATCAAGGAGATTGAAATGGCATCAACAAAAAGTTAGAACTTTGGAGGGATGCTCTAGAATCTAAAGGCCTTAAAATTAGCCAGACAAACACACAGTATATGGAATGCAAGTCTAGTTCTAATAGGAGTAGAGACGAGGAAGTAGGTAAGATTGACGGCAAAAAAATACAAAAAAATCGCACTTTTGATATCTTTGATCAATACTCTAGGAAAATAGAGAGATTGAGGAAGATGTCGCACATAGAATTAGAACTGGGTGGGTGAAGTGGAGTTATACAACCAAAGTCTTATGCGATCGCTGCATACCAATGAAGCTGAAAGGCAAGTTCTATAAGACAGTTGCGAGACCAACTTTGCTTTATGAGGCAGAATGTTAGATGGTCAAGAAACAACATACCCATAAAAGGAGTGTAGCTGAGATGAAGATGTTGAGATGGATGAGTGGCAAGACAAGAAGGGATAAAATTTGAAATTAATACATTTGGGAGAATTTAGGTATGACACCAATAGGAGATACGATGAGGGGAAGTAGACTTTGTTGGGTTGGCCATGTGCAGCGCAGACCCAATACAACACCTGTTAAGAGGTGTACGTTAGTTCAAGTAGAAGGCTAAAAAAGGGCAATGGGGAGGCCCAAAAGGGCATAGTTGAAAGTAGTGAAAAAATATATGGGGACTTGTGGCCTCACTGAAGGTATGGCCTCAATAGAAGAGAATGACGAACCAGGATTCGTGTAGTCGACCCCAATTAGTTGGGAAAAGGCTGTGATGCTTGATGATGGTGATGCTGGTATAAAATTGTCTTGGAGAAAAAAGTTAAAAATTACGTGTAGAACTATGAGGCACTTTGAAGGATAATCAAAAAAGTTTGAAAGTAGAGTTCAGCAAGCATTTGAGGGCTGAAAAAATCCCCTTTCTCTATTAGTTATTATCTAGCTATCCATCTTATATTTCTCCTTCTTATAATTATTCAAATTGCTCATGAAGTTGCATGTATCACCTGAGGTTTAACAATGAAGGAAAAGTGTCTGTTACTTTTGTTATTCTGGTCTACATTGGGTTATTGTCATCTAATGTTGTGATTATTTGAGCAAAGACCCACGAAGGAGTGCCAGCTTTTCTAAAGTTATGCTTATTTGGATTATGATCTATTATTGGATCCATTGGAAACCTAGCGATTATCTATTTGTCTATTGTATTTTGTTTCTTAGCAGTAGTGATAAATTAATCCTTCAAGACTCATAAGTGCAAATACTTATGACTAATCTCCATTTATCTGGTATTGCTAAATATCTCCAGGTAATTCAAAAATAGTTTTCTTGGATTCATACTACCAATAGCATAGTTCTGTACGATTGGAGACAAATTTACTTAGAATTTATAGTCCATCTTTCTTTTTAGTGTGGTCCAAATACATTTCCCAGATGTCTTCTTTTAAACGTGATAGTGAACCCTCTTCTTTCAATCATAATATTTTAATCAACATATATTCTGAGCCCTATTTGCTTACTTCTCATAGTTCGTCTTCTTTGAAACGTGACAGTGTCTTTGGTTGCAAGCACAATTTTCTCTCTGTGTTTCTTTGGTTAACTGCGATCGAAGTAGGATGTAAAGAGCACATTTTTGTATGTTATCATAATAAGGATGGGTCGTTTTTATTTGTTTGTTTTTAGCAGTTATAAGTTTAGATGGGAGATGCAAAGTGTATTAGTTGTTTGATTATGATGATACAATCCGTTTTTTTAAGTGATTGGCATACTTTATGCAATAAAAATCCATCTCAAAAGGCATGCCTTATGGAGGTTGCTTGGTTTCACCTCAATTCTATTGACTTAGCACTAGAAATCCTTCTTTAAGTGGATTCCACAACCCAGGTCCAACTTCCCATCCCCACACCTGTTTGTTAGTGGACGAAGTTGTAGTTTGTTGAAAGCAATAAGAAAATGAGAAACACTAATATACAGGTCAAAGCATTTTCTAATTCTCTTCACTCTTCAATGATGTGAAATTCCCGTCAACCTGGTCAAAAGTAAAACTTAGGAGTGACAGGCGGCAAAGGTAACTTATTTGGTAAATCTATGACTTTTTGGCAGAAATTCTTTTGGTAGCCCAAGTTTGGGATTTGAAACTGTAACTCATAAGTGAGATGCACAGGCCCTTATATGGGGAATTCTTTTATGGGTATTTTTTTCCCATTTTTCAAAAGGGCTTATGTTACACCCATTTCTTAGCTACAGAAACATCCATAAAATCAAGACTCATTATATGCAAATCATCTCTTGATGAATGGGTGCAATTACTAGAATAGTGGACATAGAAACTAACTCGCCTTCCCAAAATTCAGCGTCAATATGTTATTCACTTTCTGCTGGAACGTAGTGAATAAAAGACTAAATTGGGAAATAAAATGAAGTGACAAGAAATTAGTTTAACATATGACAATTGTTTCATAAGGTATTGCTTTCTTGGGTTCTCTTCTTTTTTGGATCAATATGGGACTTATTTGACTTCTGTTATTTGTTGAACTTCTCCATTGTTTTTAACTCCACATTTTCATTTTTTCTTTCAAGACTACCTCTGCTCACTTTCCTTAATCCACTTCAACCAAAAGCAGTTGTGACCATGGCTGTATATTATAATCTGGCTTATATTGATAATGTTTATATCTCTTGCTAATCATATGATCTGATTAATTTTTCAAGTATGATACTATGATTTTTTTCTCATTTAGAAACTCTGGTAATCATACAAGTAATTAATTTCTTCTTTTGACTTTTCCTATGCAAGATTCGTTGATTTTTCCTTGCTAGAGTCAAGTTACTGGTCCTTTTGAGAATCAAATCAGATTCTTTTAAATCTCGCTTGATAGTTTGTTGATTCAGAGGCCTCTTCATCTCTAGTGGTTTGGGGAAGTTACCTCTTTTGGTTCTTATGTCTATGTTTCTCATGTTCCCCTGGTTGGTTGTTAACATTCTTTGCAAACTTCAGCTTGTTCTCGATGGGTATTCAGCGCCCTTGACTGCAGGGAATTTTGCCAAATTGGTGAGTCAAAAAATTTGCAGTTGCTCTGACAAACTTCTTTCCACTAACGTCACTGGCCATAGTTAATTTCTTTCCTTGTATTTCAAAATTCTGCTTAATCATTTGTCTTCTTCATTCAACCATGTTTTGGGAGTTGCTGATGAGTGATAGGCTGATTTATTTTCAGGTAATTGATGGGGCATATGATGGGATCAAACTGAAGTGTACTGAGCAAGCGATATTATCAGATAACGAGCTTGGGGGTTCAGGTTATAGCATACCTCTAGAAATCATGCCATCCGGGCAGTTTGAGCCATTGTACAAAACCACTCTGGATGTTCAGGTAATACTACGGAATTTAGTGCCAAAGGTTTTTGAACAGTAGCATTTTATGCCGTTTTTTGTTTGTTAGCTATCAGATGACATTTATGTCCCATGTAGATCATTTGCACGAACCACAGCGTGGTAACCTGCTTCATCATATCATGAGCATGTTGGAAAAATCCTATGCACACATAAACTTGCGTTTATGTAAAAAATGAATACATTATCGTGTAAACATACATGTATATATATTAGATTTATATTGTATGTTTCTGGGTGCATGTATATGGCTGTATACACATGTATCTATATATGTCCATTAACACTTTTGGAAATATGCACTCATACATGTTTGTATGTATGTATATATAAACGCTTGAGCATTCTCTACCATTCGCAGGATGGGGAGCTGCCTGTGCTTCCTTTATCTGTTTATGGAGCAGTTGCCATGGCTCACAATGCAGACTCTGAGGAATATTCATCTCCATCCCAATTCTTCATTTATCTTTATGACAAGAAGAGTGTGAGTAGTTCATATGAATTTTGATTAACGATTTGAGAACAGGGCCTTGACATGTTTGAAATGCAGAACTGTTCCTGTTTCACATTGTGAACATGTATGCATGCATGTGCTTCTATAAATAAATGCTAATTTCCTTAATTTCCAGCATATATATTTCCATTAGAGATTTGGGAAATTATTGAACTTCTATATCCTTCTGTATTAGAACCTTTGTCCTTGTTGGGCCTCTATTCCCATTCTCTAGAAATTCCTCTAGTAAACTGATTGCAAATTCTACCACCGATCTCTATATGCCATTGCCATATTCCCCTATTATTCTTTTTTGTGTTTTATCTCCTTTTATTCCCCCTTGCATCGAACAATTATCTGTTTTTAACATCTATTATTTCAATAAAGGGAATTTGCATTTTAATTCCAATAGTCATATTTTTTTCTGAATAAATTAGTCAAATTATCTTTAATGCCTTCAGTTTTAATTTCGATGTTACATTTATCTGTCCGTTTTTTATTATCAATGAACTTGTCTCGTTGTATTCATCTTCAGGCTGGCCTTGGGGGATTGTCCTTTGATGAGGGTCAATTTTCTGTTTTTGGGTATGTTTAAGTTATTTATAAGGTGTTATAATATAGTGGAATATATTATTTAAGATATTTATGTTTTGAGCTATTCATTCTAGGAAACAAGAGAACAATAGGATGACAATTTGCAGGTTTGCATTTATTTATTTCCATGATTTCTAAGCTTTTGTGCCATTATGCAGATACACGACTGTTGGCAGAGAAATACTCTCACAGCTTAAAACTGGAGATGTGATAAGGTCCGCAAAGCTGGTGCAAGGTCAAGAACGTTTTGTATTGCCAGTCTCTGAGGGTTGATGACATCTTTTTTTAAATGGTAATGAGTTCCTTTTTTCTTGTTTTCTGTCAAGTAGTTCTTTGCGTCGACCTTTGTTTTGTGTATTTCCAGGTCAAGAATGCCTCGTCCGAGTTGCATGTATTGTGAGGTCAAGAATGCCTTGTCCGTCGATTTGAGAATGTATCCTGACTGAAAGATATGGTCATGCAAAATGAATTTTGCTCACATGCATCTCTCTCTCTCTATTGCGATAATCTACTTTTTTTTTTCTTACAATATTACTTAATTTTGTTACTATAAAGAATTACATCAGAATCAAGGTCTCACTTACAATCAGACTTTGCCAACCCACTCAAAATCCGGCTAAGCGTCAGCCAAGTCATTAGCTAGATGTCAGAGATCTAAGTCTCCAAAGTGGCTTGGATTACTATTTCACCAATTAATGGCATTCAAAGAATCCCCTCAATAACATAAAATCCAGATAGCTGCCTCTTAGAAACCAATCCCTTGTAAATCTGCAAGCAATTCAACTGCAGTCGCATACATACTTCCACAGGGCCGTAAATAAGAAAGAATAACAACCCCGTTAGAGTTTCTTACCAATCGTCTAAATCCAACTGGCCCTGGATTTCTAAAAGAAGTACCCATTCAATATATGTGTCGTAGCCTTGAGGTGATGGTTCCCATCTCTCCTTTGGTCCAACTATAAGGACATTCTAATTGATCAAATTTCTCAAATTTAACCCCATATCCCTTTCCTTGGTAAGCCATATCTATGAAGTGTGTAAAATTTTGATTTTAATAACATCATCGCTTAATACTTCTCCCTCAAAGGTTCTTCTGTTCTTCTTCAACCGCACCTCCCGCATGATCGTAGGTCGAAAATTTCTCCATCAAATCTTTCCAACTTTTGGTAAGCCATCTAAGTTCAGCTGCTGTCAAATGTCCCTTTGACTTCGTGGCAAAATCAAGGAAAAGCCCATCATCTCAAGAAGCCACATCCAAAAACCATATGCGAAAGAACAGTCGAGGAACAAATTCTTCATTCTCCTTGCACATTAAGCTCCTTCCCCTCTTTATTCTGTCAATATCTTCAAAGAAGGCTAACTCCACCTTGCTTATCATGAAAGAGCCCTCTATAGGCGGATTTCACCGTGAAGACTCCACTTTCAACTTCCCATATATCAATTCATCGGGCACACTCTTTGAAATATAAACGACCCTCCAAATCCCTCATCATTCCCATTTATTTGTGAAATAAGAGACTCTATTAAACAAGCAGTTGAGATCATTAAAGGAAAAATCGGGCAATCTAACTGGTAACTATGCAATTAGATCAGAACCGGCCACGCCACAATTTTGGCTGGTTTTGGATTTGGTAATGAGCTGGGTATTTTAAAAAAAATCAAATAAAATATTATATAAAATCTCCAAAAATAAGGGATTTTATTTTTAATGATTTTTTTAATGTTTTTTATCATTATGTCAAAGACTTGAAATTGTTTTGGCCATTAATACTTATTTTTATATTTTTCCATTGTTTTTTTGAAAAATTTCAAACATACTCTTGGGCACAAATATATTCTTTAAAATCCATTTTTTCATTAATTTTCAACTTCATTTGGATGTGATTTGTTTAATCGTTATTTTTTAACATTTTTTTGACCATTCAAGATTTGTCAGGTTAGAAGGGTTGAACCGGCCGGTTTATTGATTAGGCCGGTTAAATCGCCTATGAACGGTTAACTGTTCCTGATTGATTTGTCCTACACTGGTTGAGATCCCAAACCGTTAGCGAACGCCTTCTTTCACACTTCCATAGTCTTAGTCCAGAACCAATTCTGAATAAATAAGCTTCAAGGGAAGAGAGAGAAATGTGAGTAGAAAATAAGAGAACCATAGAATACCCCAATAGGATTCCGTTGCCATAGCCGTCAATTTAGAGAGAGAAAATTAAAGAATCTTACTAATTTAAGGAAAGAAATAGGTTCGCACTACTAATTTCACGACCCCCATTTCCCCTTAAGAGATAAACTTGCCGCTCTAGAATGAGACCCGAGCTTTTTTTTTTTTTTGGGAAGTAATGAGACCAAGCTCTCATGAAGTGAAGATATTTTTAGAGGAAAAAGTTTATATAGAGAGGTTCTAAATAATCAAATTAGAGCGCTCCTCAAAAATTTCATTTTAAGAGGTTGTTTTAATGCTCAAATATCCTCAAATTGATCATGTGGACATCAAGACGCATCGACATGACAAAAAAATGGATTTTAAGTTTTAAAAATAGTATATCTTTTAATGTATTTTTAGACCGTTAATTTTCAAAATTATCAAGTTTTGAAGGCGGATTTTATTTTGATTGTTTAAAACCTCGACTATATACAAACCGCGCCCATTTTGAAATGGAGAAAGGCCAGTTGCTTCACGAACAAAAAAAAATGACCTTTGATTTTCAGAGCTCCCCTTCTTGATTGAGAGGGAAAAACATAGATCGAGAATGGGGTTTACGAGGTCGAAAATGCAAAAATGCTGTAAATCCTACTTCTCATAGCAAGGTAGAGAGAGAGACGTAGAGATGGGGTGAGTAACAGAAGCCTGCTGGTTCGAAAGACGGAGGAAAAGATGCATGCTCCGACCAAAAGTCAAAAGAGGGAATCATACCGACAGAAACCTCATTTATGGATTGCAAGGGGATGTGAACCCAAAAAAGTAAGCGGTCAGATGTGACATTTATGCATGGAAAAAGTTTGTGTAAAGTGACATCTAAGGTTCCAATAATCTATTGTGAAAAGTTTATATAGAGCCGCGGCTCTAAACAATCAAATTAGACCTTACCTCAGAAATTTAACTAGAAAAAGTTGTTTTGATGTCCAAATATCCTTGAATTGATTGTCTCGACATCAAGATGCATGGATATGAGAGAAAAATGGATTTCAAGTTTAGAAAATAGTATATTTTTTGCACATTTTTGGACTGTCAAATTTTAAGATTTTCAAGTTTTCATAGATCTCTCCATCTACACTAATTTTGAAGTTTTAAACTTTATAAATAAAAATAAAATAAAATAATATTTCAAGGCTATCAAAAAATTTCCAGTATTGAAACCACATTTCTCGATACTATTTGAAGGTAGACTCTAATTTGATTGTTTAGAGCCTAAGTTCTATACAAACCACACCCTAATCTAATTGTCCATTTTATTTGTTTATGTAGATTTTTTTTTAAAGGGTGCCGATGTATAAGGCCCGATACTCTATACAATCAAAGTAAAACGCATTGTCAAATAGTGTTGATAATTGTGGTTTCTATATTGAAAATCTTTGTGATTACTTTAAAATATATTGTCATATCTAATTATAAAATTTAAAGCTTCAAAAATAGTGTAGAAGGAGCATATATAT